CAAGCAACCAGATCTCAGCATCAAAGCAATCTGCAATGAACGAGCCACTTCCAGAGGCTTATAGATTTAGCTTTTTGGAATTTTTCGGACCATTTTCTGACCTTGTGGGCAATTTGCTGGTATTCCCACTCTTGGATGTACAAAATTCCTGTTTTTATAGAGGTTTTCATAGTTACTGATGATCAGTTTATCACAAGCAATTGATTTGCAGCACCTGGTTGCTAAGTACCCTGTTAAGTCCTGTGGAAGCAGGGTGAACTTAGTTTTTCACATATTGTTCACATACATATATATTACCCAATATAATGAATATTCTGGACAATTGACTGTCAAAACCACATATTTAATATATCTCCTCTTTTCCCTTTTATAGAACTTTGTAAGAATTATTTTTCTGAGATGGTTACATTTTCCACTTATCTAGTAGCAACTTCAGATGCGCTGTATATCATATACCACCGACTGGTTTCAAGCTACATGTGTCAGGCACCTCCCTCCACCACTGGAGAAGAGATAACTCCAGAGATTTGTTTATTTGTAATCAGATTACTGTTTTTCATTATTATCGGCTCTGGGGATCATCTCCTTTTGGTGTCAGTGCAGCTGTTTAGGTTAATAGGCTGCTTTATTAAGTGCTGTTAATCCATTTCCAAGAGGACACGGACAGATGTGGTGACTAAAGACTTTTCTGCTGCAATTAATAGTGATGTTCGTGCATCAGGGCAGAGCTTAAATTCAGCTGGTTTTTCAGGAATTGGAAAGCACCACCTTTGATACTGATTGGCCTGCCTTTGTTTGAATGGGTTATATTTTTCTTAATCTTTTGGTCATCAGCATTCATTCACCCCACTCGCCCAAAATTTGTGTAGTAAGACGATAGTTTGAACTGTTCTATTTTTGTGTGCGTGAGAGGGGTAGGTTATCATGCAGGCAGGGGAGGGGCCTGGATTTCATCTCTGATTTGCGACCATCTGCCTCCTCCAGGCAGCTGCTGGCCCGATCCAAGCATAACCGCCCCGCCTGTCCTTTCCCAATGCCCCACGGGATTTATGGAGAGGTCACCACTGCTGCTGGAGAGACACTGCCACCTAATACTCTCAGACAATCAGCAGCAATGATCACCTACACATGCATGCTTACTGATGGGGAGAACAGATGTATGGAAATATTAGAGAGGATACAAATGAGGCTCTGCAAGCATTATTAGGATCAGTGAACGAAGCCTTTGCTCTGTTTTAAAATTTAAAAATGATGCATCAACGTGGTCAGAAAAGAGCTCCACCTAATTCAACAAGACAAAAGGAAGGAGAGAGAGGGGGGTTGACAAGCGACTGAGAATGGATTTCCCCCTCTGTGTTGCCATGGTGACGGCAGTGGATGGTGGATGAATGATTTCCTGTACAGCTGTGTAGCTCGGAGGGGAGAGTGCGGGAAAGAGGTGGAGCTCGCTGAGGAAGGCTTCCATGTTTCCCCTTAATTTGTGCATCAATGATTTTGTGGTGATTTGTGTTTTCAGCCCAATGTTGCATATTTTAACGCAAAAGAAAACACAGTTACGGTTCCTCCTACTTCAAAGATTTCACGTCTTGTAGCCTTGCTTGCTTCTTGGGGGCTTCTGCTGATATTGATTATGAGATCTGGTGACTGTGAGGCCGTTGAGTACAGTGAAATCACCGTCATGTTTGAGTAACCAGTTTGAGATGATGTGAGTCTTGTGATGGAAGCAGTGTAAACATATGAATATCGCAGCTGAAATGGAGAATTACAATTCTGTTGTCCAATTTTGTTTAACCTGTGACCTGTAGCATCAGTTTAGTGACAGGAGTAGCATCCAGTGTGCTCTTGTAGCCCATCTGTTCCACACTTTGAGATGTTGTGTATTCAGAGATGCTCTTCTACATACCTTGATGATGACAAGTTGTTAATTGAGGTTACTCCATTCGATTAGCCCAGGGCAAGTCTAGCCATTCTCCTGTGACCTCAGGCATCAAAGTATTTTCACCCAGAGCGCTTCTGCTCGCTGGACTTTTTCTTTCTCTGTGAACTGGAGAGATGGTTGTGTGGGAAAATCCCAATAGATCAGCAGTTTCTGTGATTGTCTGATAGATATTTACAGAAGGGTAGCTTAGAATTAAACACTGATTGTCAGCTGATCTGCTTATTTCGTTGCTATTAATACTGACTGCAATTCATAGTATAAATTATTGGGATAACCATTTTCTGTGAAATGAAATGTATTTTTAATAAAACATGTAAGATAAAAATACGAACGGTATCAAATCAGATTTCTGGGCTTGCCAACTCTGGGAAAAGAAACTGAAATTCAGATAGTTTAAGAAAATGGACATCACTCCACCTGATGTAGTCAATCACTATGTCACCTAGATTTATGAGGTACAAGTGAGGATGACAGGTAACTAAGGTCAGCTGAAGCTCTGATATTAATGGTTTTGTTAATATTAAGTTGTTATAGTGTCCTTTTATGTTCAGATAGCACACTTTAAAATAACGCTTATGTATGGTTATACAAAAAAAAGTAGGCGTGAAGCCAAATTTGAGGCCAGAGGACAAAAGGAACAGAGCTGTTCCTTTTGTTTCCTTATCATGAAATACTGCCACCCTCAGGCCAAAGTGAGACTTGCATTCCAGTGAGTGTAAACCACCAGAGGGCAGCATGAACTAAGGGAACATTTTGTACACCACCTTCCACATGTAAAGTTTTATACTTAAAGAGTTTTTAGAGATTTTAGCTTCCAGCTGGCAATACTCAAAAAAATGAAATGACTTGACAACATATAATTGGTAGATAAATGTACCTATTTATTGGATATTGAGGGCATTAGTACCAAGAAGGCACGGACCAGACTTCATTATAACAAATCTTTTTTTTCTTTCTTTTTTTTGAACAACAAGGTGACAAAAAACATTTTTACCTGCAGGGCGATCCTTTCACAGAAAGGATTATGGGCACAGACATACAGACTCTTACAAAGTGTAAGTATGACCATATAGCAGAGCCAAAGAAGTAAGACAGGAAGACTTTAAGGACATGGGTTATGAATGTATGGCTATGTACCTTAACACATGCTGTTTTAATATAAGAAACATTGCTGTCCATCAAAATAGACATTTTCAGTTAATGAGTAATTATATAAACAGTTAAAGAAAACAAACAGTATGAAATATAGAAGTTGATTTAATTACACAGCTTTATTAAATCCATGTATTTGTTATGTATTGCATAAAAATTCTCATTGATGCTGTCTGATAGACTGTTAAAATAGCGTTTTTAAGCGCAGGACACTTAAAACCATGATAAATAAGTTTTAAACTCAGCTAACGGTTCTTACACTGCACGTGTCACAGGTTGGCACAAAAAGTCGCTGGAGTATCACCACATTAACACCTCGCTTTTGTTTGCTGACTGCAACAACAACAACAAAAAGAAGAAAGAGGGCAGGTGGGGTTAAACTGAGGGGTTTGATTTAGCCAACCCTACAACTTTAAATCTTAAAATGGTAATGAACACTTCCTACACCCTCATGCTGAATGAATGTGAGCTGGCAGGTGGATGGACTGCCAGGATAGTTGTTCTTTGTGTCTTTTAGATAAGCTAAGCTGTAGCTTTATAGCAAAATGATCCTAAATCCTTATAAAGCAGTGTTTTTTAAAATTCATGAGCCTCAATATCTAAAACTGAACATTTCCACCATTTCTCCTAATCTCATGATTTAAAAAAAAAAAAAAAAGAAGGCTGTTGATCAAAACCAATAACTGACCTCCGCCTGCTCTTATTCATGCTGCTCAGTGGGGCAAAGAAAAACTGAAAAATTAACCCAATAAAATAGTTTGGAAACATCGGTTCAGGGAAAGAGTCTCCATTTCTGGTGAAAAGATGTCATCTCCACAACCAACTGCCTTACAAACCGCAGTGGAAACGGTGCCACTTCTAGAGTATTGAAATCTTGAGTAACGGTCACATCTCTTGAATCAAACCGACAATAAAACCTGTCTTTCTTGTTCAGAGCCACATGTCCTTAATACTGTCACCTACACTGGCTTGTAATACTGAATGACTTTAACCTTACACAGATTAAGTGTGTAACATATACAGTTCATAAAAAATACAACATATAAATTGATTTTTAAGAGAAAAATGTAACAAATTCCAGTTTAAAACAATAGCTGAAACAAAAGGATTAGAAGAGTCAAAGGAGAATGTATATGTATGCGTCAAAGTGTGGTTTGTTTTGGCTGACAGCCAGCCCGGCTCCATTTTGAGGCTAGATTACAGGGAAACTTTTGTGGCCGCAATCGCAGAGCGAGTCAGAACACGTAGGAACTCGCTCGACCTCATTCCTCCTGGGAAACTCGGCTGAATTTGACAGGACACAAAACATTGTGAAATCGTGATATTTCTAACATTTAATTGCCAAAAAACTAGCTCTATGTTTATGTGTGTGCGTGCGCAATGTTTAAAAAGTAAAGCAGAGCTTGAGTTCTGATGGCTTGGATCTAAGGGTGAAGGTGTGTGATTGTCAAGGCGCGAGACTGACACCTGCATAGTGTGATAAAGGCACGTCGGGTTTGTGTTCAAATGATTTAAAAAGTCCAGTCTGTGAGGGGGGGGGGGTGTTGGCACACTCCACTTCCAGTTGAGGTAAAATGAAGTGGTGAAGAAGAAGAAGAAGAGAGGAGGAAGGAGGCATGGCCGCTCTCACACAGAGGATCGTAGGTCCATGTTCCCTCCCTGCATGACTGAAATATAATGTTCCACCACACTCGATGTAGAGACAGATGTGGTTTCAGTTTATTTCCATCTCGTCTTTGGTTTGTAGCTCAGCATGATTTCTGTCCTGTGTCCTCCACAGAAGATCTTTGAAAAGCTTGTCAGGTGCATTAATCTGTCTGCTGTAGACCTACATGCACAAGTCTTTTGATGACTTTGTAAAGAAGCGGATCAGTTTGGAGAAGACTGAATTAAATAAAATCTTTTTTTCTTTTTTTTTTTAAAGATGACACAATCCCTTTTGTTTCTTTTGACCTGGGGGTGCAGTTTTTTAGTTCTTTTGAGCCCAGTGTTTGTTCTTAAAGTCTGATTTTCTGACAGAAACCTCAATGTCTATTGATTTATTATGTGTTATGTGAAACGTCTCGAGTGGTGCTTAAAAGGGGCAGCTTACTTGTTGCCAGTTTACTCATCGCTACTATTTGCTGCCAAGAATAGAAACCAGCTCTGCAGCGCTCCTCTCATCTCGTTCCCTGAGGCCTGAAACATCTCCACGTCTGACGTGGAGGAGCGAAAAGGGCACCCTGCGGTTGCCTACTTTGTGCTTCTGTCACACGACAAACTCGGGAACCTCTTCGCTGGTCAGGTCCAGAGAGAAGTACTTGTTGGTTCTCTTGATGGGAAATGGGTGCTGCTCGCCAAGCATGCCGGCACGCTGATCGGCAAGGCCTTGATAGCCGCCGCCTCCGCCGCTGCTGTCACTCAGCTCTTGAGCGCAACCGAATGTGTAGCTGTGGGCGGTGTCCTGGCAGAGCTCCGCCCACTGCAGGCAGTCCTTCTGATAGAGGCGGATGTCGTCTAGTGATTGGCTGTGGCGGTCAGTCGAAGACTGAGGCTTCCTGCAGGCAGACGTCTGCATGGAAAACAACAAGTCAAATTTATGAATAAAAACGTAGAAAATCAAACACAGATAAGTTATGAAGTTTGTCCAGGTGTTTCTTTATAGTCACTCTAAACCCTCTGCTTTACTTCCTTATGACTTGTATGTGCAGTGGTTTTCTAGAAAAAATAAGAAATAAAAACAAAAAAACAGCCTCTCAGGACATCCACAGATAGAAACGGCTTTAACTACCTGTGGCAAAGACTCGATGCTCTGTCCTCTCATTTTGACGACAGTCTCAGAGGAGCTGGATGTGGAGGAGCTAACATCTTTTACAATCAATCCTGCAAAAACACAAACTTTTGAGATGCATTTTGCTACCGCCTCCTTAAAAACAGACAGGTGGCATTAATTGAATTAACTCATTCCACTTTGGGGCTAATTCCCCTGACTGCAGAGAAACTGTACCTGAATATCCATTGGTCTGATCAGGTGACATCGTCAGCATGTCCTCGGTAATGTGAATGCACATCTCCTGATCCAGGGCCATTTCATGAAGCTCCTCATAGTCTTTGGGGTCATCCACCAGCATCTCAATTTCTGCAGAGTAAAATGTTTCTGAATTATTATCTGAGATAAACAAGTCTTCTCACTTTCTCTGGAGCAGCACTACTGGAGTATGATCATTGCTTTTTTTTGGTAATATCAAGTCCCAGAAATCTAGCAAGCCATCAGCATGTTACCTCTGATCAGGCAGGTCTTACAGCATTTTATTTTGAAAACTGAAGAGAAATCTTTTCCTGTGGTTTCTTATATAAAAAAGCAAAAACTTTATGAAATGAATCTACCCCTAAATTGTTGAAGGGAAATCTTACCTGGACTCTAAACGCACAAAAAAATAAATGTAAATACTCATACCTTCATCATCTAGGTTGCGTTCCTTGCCGCTGCTCTCGATGCCAGAGGTGTGCGAGCTCCCGTGACTGGTTGTGGACGAGCTGCAGGTGCGCAGGGGTCTGTGCGGAGCTTGGCCGGGGGCCCTGAAGCTGTCCGCCTCAATGCCAGAGGTGTGCGAGCTGCCGTGGCTGGTAGTGGAGTGGCGAGACAGACGCTTGTGATGAGACGTGCTGCCTGCGCTGCTGCCACTAGCGCGGGAACGCTTGTCCAGATGATCCATGTCTAGCTCAAGAGCATCGCTAATGTATGACTCCCGGTACTGCTTCTTCTCTGAAGTGGGGAAAGAAAGAAAGAAAAAAAACAGAGAGTTTAAAATATAAAAAAAAAACACATCTCTGCAAAAAACGCTATACACATCAAAAAACAGATTTATGTACTGCAGGCAACCAAAAAACAGGAAGCATCAGCTCTCTTTTGTTTATATTTCTGAAGAAGTGATCAAAGGGTGTTTAATGTTGACAGAATAAGTGGCGCCAAATACCTTCGTTCTCCTCCAGTCGACGGACTTGTTTGAGAACCGGCTGCAGGTTCATGTAGAGCCGGTGGCTGTTGCTAAGCAGCTGCAGGAGGTGGCGAGACCGCATAGGACATCCTGTGTAGTAGATGAGTTTACGAGCCGAGGGTAGACCGTCAGGAAGGATTTCAAACTTCTTCCCCTGAGAGTGTGGAGCGAGGGGGAAAAAGAAAACACATGAATGTTGATTACAGGACTCGGTGATTTACAGCAGTTAACAAAACACGATTATGAAATTGGAATGTGAAATTGTGATTAAGTGCCAGGGAGGCCTGAAGGAGAGCATTAGCCAAAGAACAAAGTCTGTTCTTGAAAACTATTTTGTAGCTGAACACAAAGCTGCAATCACTTCATGAATCTGTTCTTCATTTCCCAAACCAGAAACTGAAACTGTGCATTTCTCAGCAGTTTGGTTGTTTTTCCAGTCAGAGGACATATTAGCTGGATGCTCGGAAAAACTAAAATGGTGGGTTTGTGCGTTCTCCTGCGCCTTTTGGCAGAGGCTCGACACAATAACAGCTGTCTTTAGTGTCAGCAGGGTTGTTTTCAACACAGACCTATAAACATTTCTGCAAGTGTTTAGCCTCTGACCTCGAGAAAATGCAAATAGCTATGCTTTCGGACTACGGGACAGAGCATTACTTTATTTAGACAAATACTTTTAGAGAAAGCTGCTGAACTGAAGTATGTTTAGTGGTTATTGTCTTTCGAGAAATAAGCTCATATAAAATGAACTGAGTTCTTTACCGGTGGCTTTCCTACAAAATATTTCTGTGAATAAGATTTCCTCTTTAAATCTGTGGGAGAGGAGAGAAAGTCTGGGTGGGAAAGTGCGAGAGAAATTTGCTGCCATCCTTCAAACTGAGTATTTATCTTTAACCTCAAAATGCTACTCTGCAGATCCAAGAAACCACCACTAAAACAGTGAAGTCGTACTGGGCAGCAGCCAGGTGTGAACGAGGCGAACTCGGTGAGTCCAAGGAGGAGGCAGCTGATGCTGAGCATTAAATCTCTTCTCTGTGAACTCTTAATTGTTCTTCCCAGGCAATGCTTTTATCTTAAACCTTTGAACCAGCCACTGTTTTGTTTGGTTCAAGCTCCTTTTATTTATAGGCAGAGGGGAGAATAATGGATAACAACCGCATACTGCGTACAAAAGATTTTATGTGGCTGTCACATCAGCTGTTGGTTTTGCGAGGTTCAGGCGTGAAGTCTTGAATGGAGTATTTTAGCTGTCCGTATGTGACAATGAAGAGTACACGCTCTTGAGCCCGTTTTCCATTACTACCTAACCAGATCAGCTTGATGACACTTCGGCTTGACTCATTTTCCATTGCAATCGAGTACCACCTAAATGTGCGAAGGGTCATTATAACAATGCAGCCAAGCGTTTCGAACACTACAACAAAGGTGGACGTCGAGGCGATGGTATACCTGCAGCTCGGTCTGTGGCCTTTGGTCAGACTCCGGGACTATGGCATTGTTTCTGTGTAACCATTTCCTTTGTTGCTGGGTTTCAAAAATAGCTGTTTTGATTTTCGTGAAGGTGACTTATCGAACAACGTCACTGACTAGTCATTTGGTGGCATGAAGTCTGTTGATGTTACTTGGATTGCTTGGAACCCCAGTCGAGTAGGTACTAAAAATTTACCTGGTACCAGGTACAATCGCCTAATGGAAAACTCTAAAAATCATCTCGAGCTGTTCCAAGCCAACCCGAGTAGGTATTAATTAATGGAAAATGGCTATTAGGGTAGTAATGTCACACGGTAGGCCAACCCTAAACCACACACTAATTCTTTCTTCCTTTTTCATTCTAATGAAGCCATATTTTAGAAAAGTAACATCACCCTTTATAATAAGACTTAAAACTAGAGATTGAGACCATTAGCTCATCAGAAAAGAGTTTGAGGCAAAAGAGCAGGTTTGTATTCCCATAGACATCTATACAAACACCCTGCGAATATATCGGCCAGTATCAGTACTGACAGCTGATAAATGATAATTAGTAAAAAGAAAAGAGGAGATGGGAGACACACTCTTCAAACATGCTTTGAGTGTTGATGCTGCATCGTTTGTCGTTTTGTCGTTTCATCGTTTTATCTTTAAGTTGAACTCTGTGCAGCAGGTCTATGGATGATTAATATGAAGAGGGATGTGTGGGATATGTTTGGTTTTGATTATGGCATCAGTATTTATGACTCTGTGAGGGGTGCTGCTTCTTTCTTTTTTTTTTTCTTTAGTAGAATAATATCTCAGTCAGGTTTTAAGTAGGCAAAAATAATCCAACACCCAGCAGCAGGTATAGTGGATGAACAGCTTGTGTGACGGTAACTCTATTCAAGAACAAACACACACAGCAAAGAGCAGACTGGTGTCGAGTGGCAGGCTGTTAAGAGGTTTTCAGAAGCCACAGCTTTTCCTGATCTGTGCACTGTACATGATCGGGTCATCTAAAGCTGCTGGACAACTTTCTGAATCGTTACATGAAAAAAGACCTCCCGAGCAGGCCACACACAGCGAAATCTCCCAGCAACACCAACAACTCCTCATACAGACCAGCATCAACCAGAGTAGTAGCGAAGCAAAAGCTGGCCTGAGATCCAAGAGCACAGGACATAAGGGCAATTACTTAATTTCAGCTTTCAAGGGGAGGAGATGAAATGCTCACTGGCTCAAGAAAAATCTAAATGCAACTTATTCCCTCAGAAAAACCCAGAATTCCACCCTGTTGCATTAGTGAACCAAGAGCATACTCTACCCTTCCTGCGTTAAACTTTTATACAAAAAAGGGGGAGTTTTAGCAATTCCAAAAGCCAAATACTGAATCGGAAATCCCCCTAAAATCATCACAACATCTGGTGCTTATTGACCCATGCGCCCCTTTGCTTGCATCCTTCTCTGGCTTGCCTGTAGCTGCAGCGGGTGACGGCAGCAATGCAGGATGCCGTGACTTGCGGGTGGGGTGGAGGAGAAAGCCTGTTATTCAGAAAAAGGGTGGGACAGGGCCTACAGAGGCCTTTTGGGTCTCAGTCAAACCACAGCCACGCCATGGCTTGTTCACTGTCACGACGGTGTAGATGGCAGACGCAAGAAAACCACCCAAAAAAACAAGACTGTGGAAAACAGGAAGTCTCCACCGTGAACTGTGCAGCAGATACGACGGCTGCTTACTCCGAAATTAGACCAAACTAAAACCCAGTCTGAGACCAAGACCGTCAACTTTCTGGGACAAAGAAACCACATTTCTCAGAGACCTTACAGCCTGTAAAGTCTGCCTCAACACAACAAAACAGCCAAATTTAGAGTCACAAGGAGCCCATTTTTGTGTAACAGCTGTGATGAGCAATAAAGACCTCTCGGGATTGTGATTAATAACTGACTGGCAGAAAACATGAAGCTGTCAAGAGTGAAACAGATAAACAGTAAGCTTCTCTGCTCTCCTGTGATAACAGAAACCCTATGGAAGTAAATTGCTGCAGCGCTCAGCTTAACAGCAAGCTGAGTCAGAGCAGAGATGAGGAGATTTAACAGGATTTCCTTTACAGAGCACAGGGACCACAGTGATAACTGATCAAAATGGATGAATCGAGGGGCATGTATATCATGAAACAGAAAATCCTGCTGCTCATTAGAGGAAAAAAGGCCTGTAGTTTACAGTATGTGGCTCTGCATGTGTACGTGTGCAAGGAAAGTCTCTTTAAATCCCTGATTAGTTCCAGAGGACTAAGATAAAACAGCCGCAAAGAGGAACAAATACTCACGTAAAAATTTCTGTGACCCTAAGCAGGAGCTGGGCTTTCACATACATCGCCATAAGCAAGGGAATGTTTGTGTTTCATCATCACTGAAATGATTTTTCTTTTTAAATCCAAAAAGGTAAATTGCAGGACCTGTGAAGAACATTTCTCTGGGCTACGTGTTTTGATGAGATATCTGACTCACCACAAATACCAGTTTTCCCACATTGGTCCAAGGGAAGTCGTACAACAGCTGCCTCACAGACCCGACATTCTGCAACACAGAAACACAAATGCATGGATGTCGACTTATTACAAATCAAAGTAAACAAAGAATGTATATTGTATATTCACTGACCATTTGGTGAGTGGCTGCTGGATATTGCCAGGTAAAACTGGTTGTAAACATGGTGCTGCACCAAAAAATGTTTGCTTTGGTCACTAACAATTGCATAATTTCACTGCCACTTTAACTGGTATAAGAGTCTTCAAAGCAAAGTTTGCATCTTCAATGCAAGATTCTTTCAACCACAGCAATCTGTTTGCAACCAAAGCAATCACACAGAGGTGATTGGTGCAGAGCCGTATACTGATTGGCAAGCAACTTCCAGCAACCACTTGTCAACCAGATGGTCACCAAGTGGTTTCCAGGTGCGATTCATGATGATAGCATACATGAGTCATATTAAGTTAATGTAAAGCATGAAACCTTATGAAAGGCACTGAAGGCAAAACCACCTGAAATCTGAAAAGAAATTACACTAATAAAGTTCAATATTTTTGGATTACTTGGTTTCATAAATTAAACAAAATAAAAAAATATTTATTATTTCTGGATATGATTTTGTCTGGTTATGTTATTTTGTGTTAAAGCCTAACTGTATGTATACAAGAATACAAAAAAAGTAGCTATGTTGATTTCTAATTAAGGAACAATACCTGGAATATTTGAATACCACGTAAAGTCAGGCCCAATGTAAGAGATGCTTCGACTTCTTTCTTGTCCTGTTGAAAATATTAAGTTACACAATAAGAGGGGGAAATTAAGGAGAAAAGGCTGAAATCAAACCAGCAGTCCATGCATATAATCTTTGCCTAGCCATGACATAGCAATATAACATACAACATATCACTATCTTGGTCAGAAACTAGATTGATTAGAGGCATTTTTCACCTTATAGAGTCTGTAGTAGTGGACTGTGACATCATCAAGCTGGGCGCACTCCTTGATATACTTGAGGTGTGCCTCTGAAGCCGTGAGAGCGAACTGGTCTTTGTGCATGTTTGGGATATGCCTCAGAATGTACTCACGGCCACGCTTGGCTATCACCTGAGTAAGGAGAGGGAGAGAGGGGGATAGTCGTCAGGCTTGGCTGCCCTGAAGTTGTGCTGAGTTATTACAACCGAGTGGCGGCTTAGGTTGATGAGGGTGATGAAGCTGCCTGCCGCAGGGCAAACAGATGTCAACCTAAAGAGACTGAGCGAGAGCCAGAGGCAGCAACCGGAAACACACGCGCTAAGCTTTGTGAGCCCCTTTTTGAAGATTTAGTAAGCTTTCTAAGCACCTAAATCTGGGCAAGATTTACAGAGGGGAGCGTACGCTGTTCATTTCCAACAATTTCCTGTCACTGCTGGCTCCGAGTAGTGATAAGGAGGCAGGAGGCTAATGACGGGAAGTAGGGGCAATCAGATGGGTGTGGCTGCCATATTCAGAGGGATGGTAGTAGTGGTTGGGGAGGCAGTGATGCCAGAATAGACACGTCTTACGTGCTTCGAAAGATTTTGTTTTTTTAAAAAGTGCGTGTGCTACTTTCTGGCACAAAAATAAACCGAAGTGTTCCAGTTCTCATTATTTTCCATGCTAGGCTATGGAGCTGTTGCTAAGTGTTTGGTCAGCATGACTAATGAAAGGTGCTAAAACATATTCTACACCCTGCAGGCCAGGAACACTGCTTGACAGCCTAAAATCTCATTTTAACATAATGCCCACTGTACCTGTAGCTTCTCAGCTAGTGATACAGCAGTTTGTGTTCTTCTTTCAGTCTTATTTCCGGCAGGCTATCCACATCTGACAGCTTGTGTTTCCAACTTCTAACATCACTTCTAAGATTTTTATGCATATGCCAAAGCTTTCCACCAGATGGCAATTAAATTAGGATGTTGCCAGTCAAAACACATAACTCCTCACATAACATAGTATCACCTAATGCATAAGAAATATGGTCTTAGAACCACAGAAGTCAAACAAAAGCTAAAACATTCATATGTAATGAAAGTAATATTTTAAAATAATCAAATGATATCCATTTAAGTAAGAGAGACTATACTTCAACTTCTGTATGTGATACTAAGGCAACTAACTATCAGTGATAAATTCAGAACAGCCTGTGAGTGTGCAGGATAATAGTCATTTATCTTAAATCATAACTTAGGTTTGACATACAGTACGTTCCAAATGCAGTACATGTTAGACAGACTCACCCATGGGGGGAAGTACGCTTCAGGTTCAAAGTATTTCCCAAAGTGCTTGTTTCGTTTGAAATTGCCGAGGTCAGCCTGCAGGGCGAAGGCTGCCAAGAGGAAGTAGGCCTCCTCCCTTTGGATACACTGAGAGAGAAGCACCTGTTTCCTAAGGTGCCAGTAGTAGTAGTACCTGGCCACCCGATCGCTGCAGGGCAGAAAGAGCAGATTCAGCCAGCTTTAAGGATAACTGGGGCTAAACGGAATGATCTTTGTGGAGTCTATACAAATATCCTCATTATTCACACATATTACTTGACTCAGCATGCAAATAAACAAGCAAGAGGCTTTACTGACCTGATCAATCGTCCATTCTCAACATAATACTGAGCTCTGAAGTGAATGATCATTGGAGGCCCAAACTGATCAATGCCCTGCAAAAGCCACATGTGGAAAAATGTGTTCATATACTACAACCAGCATCACTGACCGATTATAATCAATCTACAAAAATGAACTGGATCAACTCTATAGTAAAGGAGCAACAGGTAATTACATAAGTAATTACTAAGGTTTTGTAATACTTGGAAGTGAGAAGGGAAGCTCATTACCACGTCTCATGCCCAGATGTTGACCAACTTGGCATTAACACTGGCATTAAACAGCTAGCCTGGCTAGTTTGACAACCTAACACAGCAACTCCCTGAAGTCTAATCGTTAGACTGAGGTTTCCAGGTGTGGTACCATCTTGGATGTACAGACACTATTGCCAGTGCACACAGCTGCATCTGGTGTTACAGCCAGAGATTCTGCACAAATCTCCAGGTGCATGCAGTACTGTGCAAATGTTTTAAGCACTTTATTATATGTTTAGAGCAATACCACCGACAGGCATGTGATCCAAATTCATTCTGAAATATGACAACTGTCAAGAAAAGCCAGTAGACTGATAAAGAACTCCTCTATCTTCAGCCTCGAACAAGGAGCCTTACAGCAGACTGATCCCAACAGCCCTGAACTTAACATCACAGTTACTCTGCAATGAACAGGGCAAAGACATTAATACTGTCTAAATCCAGAGAAGGACTTTGGTGAGCCAATTTTACACATGAGCTCTAGACAATGTAAGGGAAATTGGGATATAATCCTGATACCGTGCAGAGTTGCTCTTTCACATATGGAGGAGATAAAAGGAAACTCTTTGCATCAGATGCTTTGTATCTACTGAAAATAATCCATTTGATTTTGGTTAAGGATTTCCCCACCTGTGAATTTTCCAGGCATCTACCCTGTTAACCTCTCTATTCACAGGCTTGGTCAGACAATTACAAGATAAAGTCAATCTAAGGCTCTGTTCACACTGCAGGCGAAAGCGCATCAAATCAGATTTTTTTTTTTTTTTTTTTACCCTATGCGACCCATATCTGATCATGCTATGACAGTGTGAACGGCACAAATCCGATATTTACAAATCCGACCTGGGTCACTTTCGTATGTGGTCCTGAATCCGATACATATCCGATGTTTTTGAAAGCGACTGCTGCTTGAACGGTCATGTCGCATTAAATCAGTCTTTTACGCCACTGACACAAGACAGACCCCAATTATCAGCGCCCGAGAAGACATCGCGAATGCTTCCTGGCCATCCAGTGTAGATGTCAGTGAAACTGTTGGGAAGACAACGTTGGAGAAACGAGAACATTTTATTTGTACTGTATAATCTGCAACTATCCTTTGAAGCACCGCTCCTCTAAAACAGCAATAAGGATAATTATTGGGTTATTTACATTAATATGTAAAAATAACAAAATGACTTAAAGCAAAAATTGGGAAAAGTAAAGTCCGAAGTCTTTATATTAAGGGCCATCAGTCAAACAATATGGTCTAAACAGAGCGCGTTGTGTGTGACGTCTTCTTTTGCGCATGCAGGCCGCTTTGAGGGTTCACACTAGAGCGCGTTTGCTGTCGCATTTTATTTGTAGTGTGAACAAGCAGACAAAAAAATTGGATTTGATCAAAAAATCGGAATTGAGCATCAAGACCAGCAGTGTGAACATAGCCTAATGTCCATACCTACAGATTTGAACTTGTATGTTAGGCATATAGCTCCTCTGGATCCAAAAAAGGTCAGGGCTTTGAGCAGAACTGTATGCAAATATGACCACGGTTTTTAGAAGGTAAGCAAGTAGATGGTAAATTATACCCATCTGACAAGGAATTTTAATTGTATAAATCATGTAAGTCCAGGTAGAAGACTCTTGGTAAATCCTTTTTGATTTACATCTTACTGTCTTCTTCCAATTTCTACTAAAATTTGGGAGCCCAGCAAAACTTTTCTTACCTTGCTTGCTTCTCTCTTCCATTCTTTGGGACAGTACTTGGACAATTTCTGATCCAGCTCCATATAGATGTGCTCATTATCTGCAATGGGAGAGAAACTGCTTTAGCCCAGGAACTCACTGTCTGTGTCATCGGTGTGTGCACACCTGGATACATACATATATGCCTTTGTGTGTGTTGCTCAGAAAAATCACCACTGAATGAGCCCAGTTCAAAGACTGCCTCAGAGCAGTCACATTAGACAGCCTCTGAGCTTCCCTTTGTACTCTGAGCCTCCCTCTCATTCTCTTTAAATCACGCTGTCATGTCTTAATCTTTTCCTAAAGTGACACCCTTCATAAGCTGCAGCCTGCTGATCTGACAACTCTGGGCTTCTATACAATTAAAACCAGCTGAAAAGCTAAAAGCCACATAAAGAGCAGGAGCAGAGCCTCTATGACAGGATGCCAGAACCTATTTTTATCAACATTATAAATATACCTGGAACTTGAGTGTTCGTTTACATGACTTGCACTTATAAAGTCAGCACATTAAGCAGCAGCACATTATTATAATCACCAGAATACAACGATCCATTAAAATTCTTTATTTCCACACTGTTAGATTTCAAACATTTTCCAAGAAAATGCTGGTTTTACTTGGTGACAATTTGAGATCTCCACAGCTAAGACTTCTGCCGCCATTCTATTGCTATTGAGCCAATTTATGTTTGGTTTGTGGCACTTGAAGAATCCAAAAAATATATCTGAAATACCCAAAGGCAATATCTGTTTCCAGAAACAATATTCCTATTACCAAGGATAATCTGCAGATGTATTTTTGTGGTTGCACATTAGTAGAAGTGGAAATGAAGCAGGGGTTAGTGGGAAACTGTTTTTTTA